CCTTGTGGGACTAATAAAGGTATATCAAAAACAAAAATCAAAATCAAATAATGTTGCTAACTGTTAGTAGGTAAGCAGAGGCACAATGGTGATGCATGGTAACATCTCTGCAGCTAGTTTACTTGTTTACAGTTACATGTTACATTTACCATGTTTAATTACTTCAAAATGATGAAGGAATTAGAGCTGTCAACAAGTATTTTAAATTGCATAACAGTATTAAAAAACAAACGAGAAAAAGTGTAAAATTAAAACAAAAATCATCCATGAATCATCTTTACGGGTATTCAAAGGGAGATCATGATGGCAGCTGACAGAGTATTCCAGACATCCTTCTCCCCAGAAACTGGGTTCTGCTCCTAAGTGCCTGGAGAACCTCTAAGGAGAAATCCAGGAGGCATCCTAAACCAGAGGTCAGAACCACCTCAACTGTCTCCTTTCATCACAAAGGAGCAGGAGCACTACTCTGATGAACACCTCTGATGAGCACTCAGTTTGGATATCAGAGTTACTCTCCCTACCGCAAATGCTGAGCACAGCCACCATACAAAATAAACTCATTTTACCCACTTCTGTTCATGACCCTACATAGTCTCTTTTGATCATTTCCCAGATCTGACCAAGGGTGAGGGTTGGAAAGTAGAAGAATTTCTTGTAAAAAAAAAAAAAGTTGCATAACCAAATGGCACAACATGTGTGTGCATCTTTGTCATTAATACAATCCTTTAGAGAGGTTTGAAGTTACATATGGTTTATTCTTGTTGCCTGAGTTATGTTAAATTGTGAGAAAACTGACAGTAGGTTTATGTATTTCATGTAAGGCATATAGGTACGGCCTAATTGAAAAAACAGCCTACAACTCATGAGGTTTATTACTGATCAAGCAAAAGCTGGTTAAAACTGAATTAAAGAGAAAATACATTAAAACATGCTAATACAGTAGTGCTGCATTCTGTTTTTTAATAGTTACACACTGAACCTCTGTATAATCGCCTTTAATAAGTGTCCACTTCACTCATTAGTCATTGCATTAGATCTACTCCCAGCTAACAAAACTCACCTTCCTTTTGGCTGCCTGCAGCTGACACATTCTGCTGGGATAGCATGGTCTGGTTGTAGAGGCTAGGGAGGGCGGCGGCAGCGTACTGCTGAATGCCAGAGTAGGCCTGGCTCAGTGCCTCCATTGTATTTCCTGAGCCATTAGAAAGACTTCCAGAGCCAAGACTGCCATTAAGTGCTGCCATGCCTGCATCAGTTACAAGAAGAAAAAAGCTGTATGTTCACAGTGGTACAAACTTCAGTAGACTAAGAATCAGAAAAGAGGCCAAAAGGCTGTCACTGTTCAAGATTCAAGAAAACTTTATTTGTCACATGCAAGTTGCCCCCCCACCCCGACCTTACATACACAACACAGACATCACATGGGGAGACAGGTCAGGGGCCGGTAGAATTACGGAAAAACACTGAAATATACACTACAGTGGGAAAGTCCAAGAGTGGAAAAAAGAGACCTCTACTCATGCTGGGCTCCTGGGAGGACAGAAAACAAAAAAACTCCTCTGCACAGAAAGCACATAAATGTCCACAGCACAACATTATGGAGCAGGTGAAAAGCAACAGGGGTGGGTGGGGGTGAGGAGTAATCCGAAGCAAACACAGCAGCCATCCTGCCCTGCAGCTATTTTTCCAGTGCGGGCTCAGACCCGCCGTGTTCTCCAGGAGGGGACAAGCATCGAAGGCGTTTGGAAAGGGAGGAGGGATGAGTGCGTATCAGTGTATGTGTGTGTCCATAGTTCAGCTGAGACAGTGTCCTTCGCCCTGCCAGGCTAAGTAAATAGTCTTCCAGCCAACCCAGGTGGGCTTGCAGAATGGGAAGAAACAGTCTAAGCACAGTC